AAGTAAGTAATATGGCCAGGTACGATTTTAATTCGTATCACCTACTACTTATATTTTATATAGTAGTAATCACCATGTTCGATGTATTTATATATTCTGAAAAAATATCATAATTCAAACTTACATTAATTTCCAAATTGAACTGTTGATTACATCATTGTCTACTTAAGTAATTACGTTTCCATCCTGATTTTTCTAAATAATCTATTCATATCCTATTTTAATATACAAATTGGATCATATTTAGAATTGTTCACTTTAAGGGGAAGTATTTGAGTCTAGTAATCAATATTGACGAATAAGACGACAGTATCCAAGTTAAAATTCTCAAGTTTCAAATAACCAATAGAAATTTAAACTTAAGTTACTGCCAAAGAGTAACCAATCATGACTTAAGCTTTTACAGTTATTTCCTGTTCGGTAAATTGAGGTACTTTTTGTTTTTGTTGTTGTTGTTGTCGTCGTTGTCATTTTTTTTACTCCAGTTTTTTGACAATGGCAACACGAACTCTTGTTAGATATTGATTAATTTTGATAGATTTATTTATTGTAATAGAATGTGCTCATTTTTTTTCATATGGACAATCATTTGTAAAATAGAAATGAATTGTCAACCATTGAAACATTTCAATTTGAATCAAGATGAATGGTGGGTAGTAGTAGAATACAGGATGCACGTTTTCTCCTATTTGGGACTCGTTTGATAGATGTACCTACCTCTCAGAGTTGATGTTCACTCCAGGACTCCAACCTAGTACCGTTCGCTTCAATCACCATCGCGTTATCCATTTCAATTTGAGTTCAGATGGAAACATGATAAAAATGTACATGTTAACTGTAAACAAGTACCTTCATTAGTTCAAGTTCATTTTCATAATCATTTCTGTTTCGTTAGAATCTCCACTAGTAACCATTCATATTCCCATACAAAATTGAACCAGTTACATTTACTTATTGGCATTGAGTAAGATTAGATTTGAGCTAAACTGACATTAAATAATGATCAATAGGCGTAAGTAAGTATGTAATGACAGAATTATAGAAAATATCGGAACGTAAGACAGAAATCCAAGTTGGAATCAATGATGACTAAAATTAGCGTGTTTGTTAACGTATTGTTTGTAGGTGAACTAAAGATACTTTTCGAATATGAAGGTCAGGTTTTAACAATCTGATTGTTATGGCTTTCGTAAAATCTCAAAGAGTAATTCACATCTTTAATCATATTCAGTAAGGTGACTGGAAGTAGTCGATAGAAAATTTTGCATCTAGGTCTCATGTCAATTATCACTCGTTTATAAGGCTTAATTACATTGTCAAGAAGACTTATGTTCCATCTGGTATTCAACCCATCTCCTCTTCACTTCTATAATCTGAAACATTGAATTATGTTATTTGGAAATGAACTAACCTCTTGTAGGTCTGTATTACTTACAATTACTTACTTACTTACTTACGCCTGTTACTCCTGATGGAGCATAGGCCGCCGACCACCATTCTACAACCCACTCTGTCCTGGGCCTTCTTTTCTAATTCTATCCAATTCTTGTTCATTTTACTCATGTCTATCTCCATTTCTCGCCGTAATGTGTTCTTTGGTGTTCCTCTTTTCCTTTGGCCTTGAGAATTCCATGTGAGGGCTTGTCTTGTGACGCAGTTGGGTGCTTCTCTCAATGTGTGTCCCATCCACTTCCAATGCTTCTTCTTAATTTCTTTCTCCGCTGGGATCTGGTTTGTTCTGTCCCACAGTTGGTTGTTGCTGATAGTGTCCGGTCAACGGATCCGAAGTATTTCCCGTAGAGAACTGTTAATAAACACTTGTATCTTCTGGATGATGGCTTTCGCGGTTGTCCAAATTTTTGCCCCATACAGTAGAACTCCGCCTGGAGTACCTCCGGGGGCTACTGCCGGTACCAAGTCCGGATAAAGGAGGAGGGTTGAGAATGGGGTTAGCGACCCTATCCCGTAGAAAACTAAGTCGCTAAGAAAACGCTTACCAGAAAAAAATTATTCAACTTACAATTAATTGATCATTGAATAATGACCAATATCATATTTATCTGGTTCGAATGTTTACCGATTAAGTTGAAATGTGGCCATTACTTTTAACAACTTAACATTATACGAATCATGTTGAAATGTTAAATAAGGCTTCATATTAAATTTCACCATCATATTCAATAATCTAGTTTGATTTGAACAATGATTCTATAAAACTGATCAGTTCCCTACACTATATGGATTGACTCAAACACACAATAAGCTATTACTCTATAACTTTCATATTGAGATGAAAATGGTTGAACAGGCAGAAATGATCTATTTCAATTATATATGCATATATATATATATATATATATTTCCCAACAAAAATGTTGTTTTTACTCTAATATTCATAGTATAGGCGTGTCCTTGGATGTTGTACTAGAATAGTGAATAAACGTCCAGGTCTAGTTGCGAGAGGGAAAAAAAATTTATATCCAGACAGTCCTTGAGACAATATCACATGTTTGGCTTCTATCCCCCAATAAAAGTTTATATGGTAAATCAATACAATTACAACGAATTGTCATAGGATACATAGATGTGTATATGTATGTATATGAAGGAATAGTTACTTTAGTTGACCAAAAAAAGAAAAGAAACTTTACATCAACTGATCTACAGAAGATAGGTAATATGTACTCTGGTTAAAGATCTACTTCACAGATTGATTGATATATGTTACATCATTTGTGATAGTTGAAGGAAATTGTATGTTTGTCCCCTTGCACATATTGATTGTTATCGATCTGTTAAACTGTTACAAATCATGTAATTAAGTTATGATTGTTTATAGAAACTAAATGATTATTAAGGGTCTTTTGAAGATTGTTCATTTTGACAGTAATTTAAATCATGGATTGAATTTAAATGGGGGGGGGGAAATTATATTTGAAACCAGAAAGTACTAGATACAGCTGTTTTATTCATCAGCATTTTCGATTCACAACCTATTCAAGTATCGATTTTATGATCTTATGCTAAGTCCATTACACTTGAAGGTTCCCAATTTGAACTATGGCGATGTCGCGTGGGTGTACAGTACTGACTAGTAATAAATTATGACGAAACAGCTTACGAATGCTGCCTGGTTTTTTGAATGAATGTACAAATGAAGTTATTCCACAATGCAAATTATGTTTAAAGGTTAAATTATAAACACAATACCCTTAAATTGTTGGATAACATAAGATACAATAACTGACTAACAAAAAGTAAAGGCAAACAAAACGGGAAAAAAAGATGCTTAAATAACTCATAAGTGTAAGGAGATGTATGTTTTAGAAATCATTCACCAATCAATAGAAACAAAATACAACAACCTAATCATCAAGTAAGTACTTCAGTGACTTATTGTTATAACTTGTAACCACCGATTAGAGAGCAGTGACTTATCGATCGGAAGAATGACGCGTAAACCCGTTTGAGTCTCCTAGATTCCTGATTGGTCCTGCTTTCCGCCTAGCCCAGCCAGTTAAGCCCAGAACACAAGTCTCAGCCTCTGCGATATGAATCCTTTATTTCAAACATATTGAGTTTATATACCAATCAAACAGACCACAACGTACCAACAAAATATAAAACAACATTTGTACAATAATTAGCCATATGTGGCTGTGAATGAGGGAAGTAGTGATATACTGGGTATAACTCAAGAATGGTAAAACGTATAATAATAGCTTATGGGTCAAAATAAAGCTTACAATAAGAGGTATATGAATATGCATAGTTTGAGATTAGGTGGTGGTTGGAGGTAGTCGACAGGACTGTGAAGCCGGGTGACACGAGATCGAATCCGCCAGGGAGCATTAGTTCCCTCAAGATTACATGTACACCTTGCTGACGTGTGCCAAGTAGCACGAAACCCGGGTCCAGGGTTTCTTGTCGACTACCTCCAACCACCATCTAATCTCAATATATAGTGCTCGCAGTGTCGAGTCACCTAGACTGGTGGCCATATTGCAACATGATCGATAGCATTCGATCTGCACTAATAAGGACTAGACAAGCATGACATTGATCACCACCCAGTGATATGCATAGTTTAGTTACTTAATAATTATACAATAAAAATATACGTTTAGTATTGGTCCATCAATAGATTCCAAAAGTTACCATTCATTATTCTTGCCGGAACATAACACTTATCAAAAAGAAAAAAAATACTGACGATGTGTATGCGTGTGTGTGTGTAGGGGAGGGGGTATGTCAACTAAAAATAAAGGTCGACACGTTGTTAACTTCTAAAATGGTAACTTCTATTTATTTCGGAAACTATCATTAAAATATTGGCAATGATAATCAGTTTGTTACTGTTTTCTATTTACATTGATATGTAATGGATACTAATGGATTATTGATTAATCAATTTCATTATGAAAAATAGACAAACTAAATACTGATATTTAATTGGTTTAAATAATTTGTCATTAAAATTACCATCTACTTTATTAGATAGATACAACAGAAGAGGCCTATAAGATTACAAAATCTCAGAATAAAAACTCATTGTAATCACAATTGATTGATCACTGGGTGATGACCAATTTCATGTGTGTCAAGTCCTTATAATCAATTGTGATTACATCTCAGTCCTACAGGAGGTTGGTCGCGACACGGATAGCTCAGTGATAATGTCTCTGACTGTGAAGCTGGGTGACACGGGATCGATTCCGTCAGGGAGCACCAGTCTCCTTAAGATTACAGGGACACCTTGCTGATGAGTGCCAAGTAACATGAAATCCGGGTCCAGGGTTTCCTGTCGACTACCTCCAACCACCATCTAAAAAACCAATTGTATATGTAAAATTTTTGTTAATTTCTATGTATCCTCAGAGGAGTTTAAAATAATAGGGTAACATGAATTGTCAAAGTAAATAAATATTGTATATTGATGGAATTTTGTTCTCTGAGCTAGATGATTTGGTCGTCGAGCTTTCATCATTCTTCTGAACGACACCATCAGCACAAACTTCAGGTAGAAAAAAAGTGTTCGAATTTGAGTGTTCAAGAAATTCGAACACTGTTAATGTCGTTCAGAAGAATAATGAAAGTTTCACGACTAAACCATTCAGCTCAGAGAACAAAACCCCATCAAAATCATTCAACTGAACTACAGATCTTCTCCACCATCTCGAATATTGTATATATCAGGTCTAGAAATGGGAACTGATTGAAAATTTATTATTTTATCGAAGTTTAAATATCTGTAGGATATTTTAAGCATAAAACTTCTTTGTGGCGTATTTTGTTTGTAGTTTTCTTACAATTTTGTTGATCAGAATGATTTATGGATTGTTGTTCTGTGTTGAACAATGTAGTTTGCATTCTCAATACTTACCGACTTACTTACTTACGCCTGTTATTCCCAATGGAGCATAGGCCGCCGACCAGCATTCTACAACCCACTCTGTCTTTCTTTCTAGTTCTATACAATCGTTGTTCACTCAAATCATGCCCGTCTCCATTTCTCGGAGTACTGTGTTCAATGGTCTTCCTCTTCTCCTCATTTGGCCTTGAGGATTCCATGTGAGTGCTTGCCTTGTAACAAATTTACGTGCTTTCCTCAATGTGTGTCCTATTCACTTCTAGCACTTCTTTCTGATTTCTTGCTCCACTGAAATCTGGTTTGTTCTCTCTCATAGTAGGTTGTTGCTGATAGTGTCTGGTCAATGGATCTGAAGTATTTTGTGTAGACAACTGTTAATAAACACTTGTATCTTCTGGATGATGGCTTTCGTGGTTGTCTAAGTTTCCACCCCATAATGTAGAACTGTAGAACTGACATTTGTATTGAAAATTCTGACTTTAGTGTTGGTTGACAATTATTTTTGGCTCCAGATGTTCTTCAGTTGTAGATGTGCTGCTCTTGTCCTGCTGATCCACGCCTTCATATCTGCATCTGATCCACCGTGTTCATCAGTGATGCTGCCCAGATATGGGAGGGTTTTTATATCCTCCAAAGCTTCACTGTCAAGTGTGATTCGATTGGTGTATGGTGTGCACTCTCAGTAACCTTTAGTTAAACATTTGATACACGTCCTTTCATACTGATAGATTCATAATGCAGTGGTTGAGGGAGATCAATTCAAATGGAAACAATCAATTCGGAACAACTGGAACAATGTAGAAAAAGTCCTAAATGTCAATAAGAGCTTCACTCCAAGGTTAGTTAATATGAAGCAAGCCGAGTATATTTATAGAGTTATATATGACCTTCGGTTTCTAGGAATTTCTGAAAACATGATAAATTTAGTAGCGGTATAATCAAATATTCATTTGATGACATGATACAAGATTTTTAATTTTTCAGACGTTTCTGAGAGGCTACTAATCAACGCTGATTGGACAAAACATATTCTGGCGTTTGATAGGCATCAAGAGATTTTGACAGAATATTTTTGAAATCCCCAAAGGATTCTTAGATTTCTTCGAAAAAATTTCGGAAAGTATGATTAGATAGACATAAGAAGAATGAACAACAATTGGATAGAACCAGAAAGGAAGATCCATGACAGAGTGGGCTGAAGAATACTGGTCAGCAGTCTATGTTCCATTGGGAGTAACAAGCGTAATTAAGTATGTGATGATCTGGTAAAGTAATCTGACAGTTTAGTGAATGGATTTAATGAACTATACTTATCAAACCAGTTCATCTCAGCAAAACGCTTTTCTTGAAGAATGTTCAACTCACAAGAACAAAACGAATGTAGTATGAAATCTATTCATGGAAAATTTACGTAGAATGGATTGTTGACAAATCTCGTAGGTTTGTATAAATTAACGAAAAAAGGGAACTAATCCATTCCCTTACATCACTGTATTTAAACATATACACTAAAGACACTATAATAGAAGAGGAGGTTTAGTTAATTAAAGCCAATTTTATTAACGATTGCAGTCTATTATGATATAATAAAGGAAAGACTATATGTATCTGACATCATTAGAAGATTTTAGGGAAAGTAATCGTCAAAGTTAAATGTGAAATTGCTGATGAAGTTCCCAGAACAAATCATTTGTGCAGGTCCCTATAGAAAACACCCCATGGAATCTCACTACGATTATTCTAAATTAGTTTCTCATTGATATGCCTAAAGTATAAACCTCCACAAATCGTTCAACCTGAAACCTATCCCAGGCATAGATTAATAGCAAAGATGTGCACTTGATCATAATCATTTCAAGTTGGTTTTATCACTTGACATTATTGATAAGATGTGACCTAATTCATTCAAAAGTGTGTTCCCGTCTATGTTTGATAGGTCCTGGGTTCGAATCTCGCGAGGCGGGATTGTGGATGCGCACAGCTGAGGAGTCCCATAATAGAACGAAACGGCCGTTCAGTGCTTCCAGATTTTTCATGGTGGTCTAGCTTCAATCAACTCAAAACCCTTTCTGATTTATTTGTATTACTGAAGATTTAACTACATGTATTCTTAATCGAGATCAGATTTTAAAATCATTTTTCCTGAAATAGACTGAAGTTCATTTACAATCCCACATTGTTTTCCACTTTCCATTTTTTGGTCATCTGTCCTTAGTCATCTTTAAATCACAATTTTACCATAATTGATGTTCTAAACAAAATTAGATTTGCTGATTTATTTACCACAAAGACGATGACTACTTAATTAAATATTAAAGTAGAATAAATCGTTTCCAGAAAATGTATTGTGAAAACACTAAATATCGATCGAAAACTACTGAATCATTGGTACACAAATTAGAAACTTTTTAAAATGGTTCAATGCAACTTAATCCACTCAGCTTTTGCACCATTTAGTTTGTAGCATTTATCACTAACATAAATAATATGAAAAAGTAATGCGATTTGGTTTCGAAAAAAAAGTTGAGGGAATTATAGATTGATTGAAGTTAGACATTAACACCGTTGGATGCCGGCCGGCTCAGTGGATTAGAGGTTAAGGTCCTGGGCTCGAATCTGACGAAGCGGGATAGTGAATGCACACTGCTGAGGAGTCCCACAGTAGGATGAAACAGCCATCCAGTGCTTCCAAGTTTTTCATGGTGGTCTAACCTCAATTGATTCATAAATTAACATGAAAATTGTTCAAAAATGAACTTATTACATTATTGGTTAAGGCAAATACGTGATATTATTGATTACATGTGGTTGTAGGACTTGATCAATCGATCAAAGGCTGATTACTTGCAAGGGGTTTGTGTAGATTATTGAATTTCATAATTCGCATCACGAATTGATGTTATTTAATCATTTATATAAGAAGGCAATGCAAAGACTACAAGTGATTATTTAAATTAATCTAGCTACCCGAAAATATGCATTAAGACATTAAACACTACTCAGCTATTATAAATCAGACTTTCTATATGGTCTTATCCTAATGCGTTAGCCCACAAATGCCCTGGTACGGCCGAGAGTGGAAAGAGTCCGCTCTCCCTCTCGAAATGTTCTCACATGGCCACGCATATATAGCCTCTTCCAGGGAAGTTCTACTCACTGCCCTCTCGTGACACTACTGTTGTTTACGAAATTGAGAGGACGAAAAGCGAATGTTCGGCGCTTTAACCGGGTCGGTGGACATGGAGAGTCCAGCTAGGGGAGTTGGAAAACCCTGATTCCAAACCAATGCTTCACATAGGCTCCAGCATCCTGAAGGAACAAATGGAGTACGAACCAATTGTTGGTCACCGGCTACTATGGGACTGCATCTCCTTACGTTGTTCCACTGCCTTGTGGATCAGACCATCAGGTCAAAGGCTCCGGGTGTGGCCCCCTAAGAAAACCACCTGCTTCGGTTTGGGCACCCGGGCAGTATCACAGCCCTCACACATATCAAATGAGATTTGTGTGGTGCATATGTATTTGGTGCCTCCCTGTACCAATATCTATGTGTTAAAATAATTTAATATTAGAAATCAAACTTCCTATATGGTCTTATCCTAATGTGTTAGTCAAGAGTTAATGAATAATTACAGTGACTGAATCGGATGGTAGACCATAAGAGGTGAGAAAAACTTCCACACATTATTCTCAGTTCTAATAAGTTGATTATATAATGAAAGAAATCGACTATATCAGTTATTTATGCGGAATTAAATATGAGAAGATCAGTCTTTTCTTAGTTAAAGCTTTGGAATGTGTATCGTACTTTGAGAATCAAATTAAATAGTATTCGTAAGTATCTGATAATGATTTTCTTAGCTAAATAGACTGTTGTAATCGAATAAGATTAGATTATGGATATGTTCCAGTGTGGTGTGTGCTACTTATATTGATATAAGTAGTATATGACGCGAGTCAGGTATGTAATGTCTGGCAGCAAAATATTGGGAAGATCAAGAAAGCAATTAGTATAGAACTGAAGTCCGAGACAATTACTCAACATTTTGCAAATTAGGTATTATAGTATGGTTTTTCTATTTTACCAAGTAACTCTGTGATGTGCTGAGTAAGGTCCGGTTGTCCTCACCTGTGTTCTCCTTCACTGCACCAGGATATGACTGTTAAGTAACTAGATTATGTACATTTATATTACGTTCACCATAAGCTTTCAATTGACCTATTGACTATTATTACATGGCTTATTATTCTCAAGTTATTTCTAATCAATTAATTACATTCTCTTACACTCACAGTCACTTTTGGACTGATCTTGTATAATTGTTATTTTTTTATATTTTATAGTATGATGCGGTCTGGTATACTTGTATGTAAAGTACTTATGTATGAAATATATGATTTATACATTGGAGGCTGATATTGTTTTCTGGACTCAATTGGGCAGAGCTAGGCAAGAAGGACCAATAGCGATTCAGAGTTGACACAAGGCTTCTAGTGCTGTTTTGACGTGTCATTTGTTTAGCACAAGAATAAGGTATTTGGATTGATGATAATTAACATGATAAAAGTCATAACATAGATTAAGCTTTAAAAATGAACAAAAGTTGACTGAAGTAATAGAATTGACCATATGTAGATGTAATATGGTGATTGAAGATAACCAATGGAAAATCCAGGACCTGGGTTTCATGCTATATGATATTCGTTAGCAATCTTAAAAGAATTGATACTCTCTGGTAGATTTGATCCTATGTCACTTGATTTCACAGTCAGGGACGTTATCTTAGAGCTGTTTTGAGCTGCTAATGACCTCTTGTCGAGCTGCGATATATTTACAATTAACTGTCTACTTGGTAGTGACTACTCAATTATAGAGTAACTATGTATAATTACCACATGGACTTCACCGGATCACTCTACACAAAACCAAATTGACCATATTTGCATCAACAAAACGTTCAGGAGGACTATAGAGGACGTGAGAACCAAGAGAGGAGCTGATATAGCATCAGATCATCACTTGCTGGTCGCCAAGATGAAATTGAAACTCAAGAAGCACTGGACAACGGCGCGGACAACATCACAGAAGTTTAATACGACCTTTCTTCAGGATACTAACAAACTCAACAAATTCAAGATAGTCCTCAGCAACAAGTTCCAGGCTTTTCATGATCTACTCAATGTTGAAGGAACTACTATGGATAGAAACTGGAAGGGGATAAAAGGGGCAATCACTTCAACATGCCATGAC